TCCAAAGAAGAAAATGTATTTTATGGTCTATTTAATATTTTTTATAAGCTGTTAAATTTTAATAAGTCGAAATGCCAGTTCTAACAACAATTGTCATTACAAATTATTTTCAACTTTCGTCCTCGAATCTGTCATGATTCTTTGTTATTTTTGTGCATTTATTGTTTAGAACAATTGCTTGAAATAGGAAACTAATTCAGCAACTTTCGATTAAAAATGATTTCCAGGCTTGTTAGTGGGAAATTCTTTACTTAAATGGTCTCTAAGCTTTTTTTTTTCAAATGTATGTTCCAAAATTAAAATACAGTTTGTTTGAATAACAAACAAGTGGATATAATATTTTGGCTTTGAATTTATGTATGTAATTTATTTGCGAGTGCAAGCAAGCTCGAAGTGGTAGCCCATGCTGCGTTATCAAATTATAGTCCAAAACTAAAACTTTGGCGGCTAGGCATAGGCTGCCACTGCCTTATATATACAAGTATGTATATACACAATTATTTCCTAAGTAAATCAAATCACACCCCGGTACTAAGAATGGTGAAGAAGAAGGAGAAGGCTGTATTCAATGGCATTCTTAAAATAGATAGCAACAACAATACTATATACCGATTAGTTCCGGTGCAAAATATTCAGATGATGCAAATTTTGACTTATTTTTTAAGCCAGAAGCTTCCACTAGAATATGAGAATTTTACGGGAAACAAGAAAGTGCAGCTGTGGCTTCAATGCCAGCATAAGGCGACTAATGTTTTGTTATTAATAATGCCTCGATTGTGGCTTGACGCATAGGATCAGGTAAAGCAGGACAGCGACCACGGACACGATGATGATAATGATGATGAGAGTGGCGTCAAATCTAGCCACTTTGTTGTCCAAAATGGTATCAACATGTTGTCAGCGTGCGCTACTAAGTATCCATTACTGATTTTCCTGAGCGCCTGAGATGCGGGCGAGTTGGCAGTCAGCAGCTGTGGGTCGTAGCTCCCAATTCATATTACAATTTCTGGGCCATCGCCATGGCCACTGAAATTTCAGGCAGCCAGCCGCGGCAGCTAATGAAGTGCGCATCAGTTGCTGCCATTTTCGTCAAAGCCCCAATACGCCTTTGTTGACCTTTCTATTTCTTTTGCCAATGCGCTTTGCTTTGTTTTTTATTTCGTCTCCTTTGTCTATGCGAGCGCCCTCACACTCACACACAAACAATTACTGTATTAAATTACACAATTACCGCAGCAGTTGCGACGATGCTGTTGTTGTCATAGTGATGTTGCTGCTGTTGCTGCCTCTGCCACTTGCTGTTAGCCATGCTTTGTTTTATGTGCCTGGCCACTTTGGTCTAATTTCATTGTACTCTGTACTCTGGTTGCTCACAATAAACTTGCATTTAGCTTAATTTCAACGTAATTTATATTTTATTTACCCAAAGTATCTACATGCAATATGTTGCATGATTTATTGTTGTCATCTATTCAATGACTGCCCTTGCTCCCTCTCCTCCAGTTCCTCTTCCTCGGCATCTTGCTGCTTATTTACATTTTGGTTTTCCTGTCATTTCCTTTTGTGCGCCTCAATTGCTTCTCAGTCTGTGCCTTTATGCCTGCCCCTCTGTCTTTTGTTTTTCATTTACCATTTTAATGTCATTTGATTAATTTGGACAAATATAAATGTCATTTTGCGTTGCGTTCCTTTTGAAGCTCAAGTGATTTAATGAGCAACACAAGCCAACTCCCATCTGTGGCTTTGCCTACCTGACTGAATATAATTCGAATAATATGAGACAGAACAATACATGAAGGCTAACATGAAATATGACATTGATAGAAAGGCTACGGACAATTATAGCTCGAAAATTCAGTATAGATATAGATTTATTAATTCGTAAACAATAAGGAATTTGGAGGTATGTACAAATTGTTTATGATAAAATAAAATAATAAAAAATAAATATTTAAAATAGTGCTCAAATTATAAATCTTAGATTAACTTTAAGCCCCAGATACAAATCACGATTTCCTCCTGTTCGCCTGACTGTTTTAATCACTACTTCTTAAAATGCTTTAGAGCTGTGGCGTGACACAGATACTATAACTGTATTATATAGCTGTCACATAAACGATATGGCTTCCTAAAAGTCATGAGATTCAAAACTTGTAGCTTATAAAGTAATAATATTTGACAAAATTTTAAAATTTGGTAAATGTTTTTGCACCAGCTATTAATATTTTATAGCTTAGCACTCTGCTAAATTTAAAATAGCTTTGATTGAAACGAACTCTCAGAGAATGATACGAATAGGTAGATCGATATATTTATTCTTGACTGTCTTCCATCTATATTACATATAAATTTTTTCGCTTGTTTGTCTTCTTTTTTTTTTGTTGGAAGCCATGTCAATATTCCAGTTCTTAACAGTTCCATTTTCTGATTGATGATAATAACAGATAATCTGCTTCCACCGTTAATGAATTATCGCCATCTACGATTTTGCTTTTTAATTGCAAATAAGGAAATGAGCCTTAAGGAAAAAACATTTTTATGCACCATAATTAATTGCATGTCCACGGGCTGTATATGCGCACACATTCTCGTAATTATTTTTTATTTGCAAAACATGAAATGCTAGAGGTATGTGAGTGTGTTTGTGTGTGTGTTTCGAAAAGCGATTTCTTTCTCATTTGCCCATGTTTGCATATTCGATATGAAAATGCTCGTCGCCAAAGGATATGCAATAATTTACTTGTTGATGTCGTTGTTGTGGCTGTCGATAGTGCATGAATTTTCGTATTTTCGTTTTAAGTGGAAATTGTGTGGACTCCTTTATTATGCATATATGTATAAGTGAGTAAGTGTGTGCCAAAGACCATTACATAAATTCGCACACAAACATCTGCATATATACATTTATTTACATACATATATTTTGATGCGCTTCAATAATTAAGCGTTGTGACGTCAAAGCATTTGTTGGCTGTGGTTGCTTACCGAAGATATTATTAAAAATAAATCACGTATAATCAATACATTCACACGACGTACTTGTATATACGCACATGTGTAGACTTATGTATATATAAAAAAAAAATAAACTGACAACTTTATTACGGCACACGAATAACTTGAAACTTGTGTCAGTTTTTCTTTGTTGCATTATTAGTGTGTCAATCAATGGCCCCAGGACTTTTTAAATTAATATTTAAAACATACAAGTCTCTTTGTTCGTACATATTGTTATGTTGTCGGAGTGAATCATTGACCATCATAGCTTGCCGTACTGGCCACTTAAGCGGGCCCCGCCGGTCCATTTGTGAGCCAATTGCTTTGTGAATGGCTGTGAGTTTGGACATAGCTTGGATCTGCTCATAAATTTTCTCAGTTGCGGCCAAGTAGAACATGGTTTTATTTACGTAAACAAATATAGAAATATTTATTATTTATTATTAACAACTTTGACTGATTTTTTGCTCAATCGAGCTTGAATAGTTATTATAAATTTTTCTAATTTTATAGAATTTTTTCATTTATTTGTAATGTTTAAATTATTGTTGCATTTTTTTCGCTGAATAATTAAATGAGTAAATAATGTAATAAATAAAATGAAATAAATATGATACTCTGAATACTCTTGCTATGTTACTTAAGTTTTTAGTTATGTTTATCATTTCCATTATCGTCTGCTCCCAGTAAATAATGTAATAAATAAAATGAAATAAATATGATACTCTGAATGCTCTTGCTATGTTACTTAAGTTTTTAGTTATGTTTATCATTTCCATTCTCGTCTGCTCCCATTTCATAATGGTTTTAATTTGGTATATTCGGATACAAGTATAATCAACTCAGAAGTTGTAAGAATTAAAAAATAAGATGAGCCTCCTTCGTACCAAATCCATTTATCTCCAAATGTTAGTTGCTTTCGAATTAATAGAAAGCACTCCACTACAATCAGTACAATAATCAATTAAGTAATTAAATTTATTATTTAGAAAATTGACTTATTTATTTGGGAAATCATAGTAACGTTAAAAATTGTGTTCACTTGTTCAATTAATCCGATTACATGTTTTTATTGTGTATAATCGGTTCGTATACTGTTTTTCGAAACTTCGACACTCAGGAAACAAAAGCTTAACCAAAAATACGTCTATAAGAAATATATTTTTTAACATACATTAAAATTCCAGATTGTCCACATCTATATGAGCACTTGTAGTACTATCTCTATGAAATTACTATTGCGTTTGCAATTGGGGTCTTCTTGAGCTAGAAATTAAGTCTAACTAATAATATGCCTTTAAAACGGCACACATGTTTACTAAGCTCTACAATGTTGTTTGTTTCTCAACTATTTGCAGAACGAAGACAAGAGGAGAGGAGAAAGGAGATCTACAACAACTACCAAAACAACAACGTCGGCAAATATACTAAGACATTGTTGAGGTTGCTCAAAAAACATGCGCCGCATACAAAATGCCAACATGAGCCAAAGTAACAACAATAACTACAACAACAAATGCATTACGCTATAATTTCATTAAGGACAAAAGCCTTTTTTATAAGCAGCCGCCGTGGTAGCAGAGCCAACATTTAAGTCGCCCTCCAGCGGTCGAGCACTAAAAGCAAACAGCAAGGCAGCCAGCCAGCCAGTCAGCCAGCCCATAAGTAAGAAGGAAAGGGCTACTACAAAACCAGCACGTGGGCCGTTGCCTACTTACGGGCGCTGCTGCCAAACCAAAATCAAGACGACATCCTAGGCCGACACATAGACGGAGGCAAGGAGGCGTAAATACGAGCAAAGGAGACGAAAAAAGGCTACGCGACTGACGACGTGGCTGACATTTTTATGAAATTAATACAAAGGCACAAGTGCGAGCACACGAAGCGCATAAAGCACGCGAGCACCATAAAGTGCCGTCAGGCAGCAGGCGGCAGTGGTGTGGGCGTGGCAATGATGAGTACGTTGATAATAATGGCAACATGTAGGCAGCGGCAGCAACTGAAGCAGCAACAAGAGTGTCGAGTGCCAGAGCGTTTTTATTGTCTGACACTCGAGTACGCAACGTGATTCTGGAAGTGAAACAGTTGACAGATTTTGATGAGCAAGTTGGCTGAGTGGATGGCGGTTTTGTTACTTCTGAGAGGAGGAAGCAGTGAGAGTGACAGCGACGCCTAAGTCTAAACAAGTGTTGGCTTGTCTTCATTTGCCAAGCAACAGTGTCGAGCATTTTTGAATACTGCTATACACAATTAGAAATAGCAATCAGGGTGCTGCCAACTTACTCCCAAAGAGCTTGAAAGACACACTATAGCATCAAACATGCAAGCATACAAATTGAAAGATCGTTCTATTGTACAACTCCTGGTTCTGCTGCTGCTCCTGCGCAGCGTTCGCACCTGTCCTCCTGAAGTTTGCGTCTGCAAATGGAAGGGCGGCAAGCAGACAGTGGAATGTGGCGGTCAACAGCTACCTTCCTTGCCCGAGGGCATGGACCCAGGCACCCAGGTGCTCAACTTCAGCGGCAACGCTCTCCAGGTGCTGCAAAGCGAGCGATTTCTGCGCATGGATCTACTTAATTTGCAGAAGATCTTTCTCTCCCGTAACCAACTCATACGGATACATGAGAAGGCTTTTCGTGGACTGACAAATCTTGTGGAGCTGGATCTCAGCGAGAACACACTCCAGCATGTACCGAGCGAAACTTTTCAGGACTATAGCTCCCTTATGCGCCTCTCACTGAGTGGGAATCCCATACGAGAGCTCAAGACATCGGCCTTTAGGCATTTGTCATTCCTAACCACACTCGAGCTCTCTAATTGCCAAATAGAGCGCATTGAGGACGAAGCCTTTGTGGGCATGGATAATTTGGAGTGGCTGCGATTGGATGGCAATCGCATTGGTTTCATACAAGGTGCTCACATACTGCCCAAATCGCTGCATGGCATTAGTTTGCACAGCAATCGTTGGACCTGCGACTGTCGACTGCTCGACGTCCATTCCTGGCTGGTCAACTATAACACGCCACTGAGTGAGGAGCCCAAGTGCATGGAACCGACACGACTGAAGGGTCAGATCATAAAAGGTCTGCGTAAAGAGGAACTGGCGTGCCTTCCCGAAGTAAGTCCACAGTCGACATACACTGAAGTCTCGGAGGGTCGCAATATGTCTATCACTTGCATGGTGCGAGCGATACCCGAGCCCAAGGTACTGTGGCTTTTCAATGGACAGGTGATGAGCAACGACAGTTTCGTGGATAACTTACACATGTACTATTACATAGACGAGAGTGGAAGCAGTGGTGCCGAAGAGAAGCGCAGTGAGATATTCATCTATAATGTAGGTGCTGAAGACAACGGGACCTTCTCCTGCGTCGGTCAAAATATTGCGGGTACCACGTTTAGCAATTACACGTTGCGTGTCATTATCAAGGAGCCACCGGTGGTGAATGAGGTTTCGTTTCCACGAGACTATATGAACTATATTGTAGCCAGTAGCGCTGGAGGAGGCATTATCTTTCTCGTCCTCCTCTGTACCATTGTGGTCAAGTGCAAACAAAAAGAACCTGCGAAGAGAAAGAAATGTGGCACTGGTGGTGGAGCAGTCACAAGTATTGCAGGGGCCACCGATTCCACAGCAGGAAGCACACAGGATACGGGCCTAATGAAGTGCGCTTCCATTCTCACCGATGGTGACAGCCTGAATGGGGGGGCGGGACTGTTGCTCTCTGATAATCTCACACCCACCAAGCTCTGCAAAGAAGCAAATGGAGCTGCAGGTGGTGGCATAATACTCGGAGGTCAAATGAAGCAGAACTTACTGCTGTACGCACCGCAGCAGCAACAACAACCACTACAACAATCACACCACTTGGAGCATGCCTTGCAGCTGAACGTGAATATGATGAACGCTGGAGCAGCCTCCCCACCAGCGGGGACGCCTCTCCTACTGAGCAATGGACTCGCCTACTGCTCACCACCCACCTCTATGCGCAACTATCAGGAGAAGAATCCTGATCTCGTCAACGATGCCGAGAGCGTCAAGCACAAGCTAAAGACGGCAGTCTCACTCGATGGGGCATCGGACTACGATGCGGCTAGCGATTGCTCTGGACCTTGCAGCATACAGAGCGGTCTCTCGCAGACCCCCGTGCAGTACGACGGGTGCTATCAGCTCGCCACTCCTCAGTTGCTTGCACGCATGCCACCGTCTTCGGTGGCGGGCAACATGAGCTCTCGTTTTGCGGCTGCGATGACGACATTACCGCGCGGCATGCAACTTAAATCGGTGCTAAGCAGCGGTGCATCTACAGCCGCTCCCCAGCATCAGGTAGATGTGCATCTCAATCCTGTTTGTTTTTTGGGCCAGGACGGTTTCGCCTACGACTACAGCAGTGCGCATTTGGTGCCGCAGCAGACACCACCAGCCACCCATCCTCACCAGCAACAGCAACTTCAGTTGCAGGCAGCGCAACAGCAGAACTTCTACCGAACTCTGCCGCACAATCGCGCCCACAAACAGCAACAGTTTGCTGCCGCTTCAGCGGCTCAGAACTCGAACATGCGCTACAGTCTGGAAGCGGAGTTCGTACAGCGTTCTAGCACGCCCACCGGCTATGAGAAATATCTGCCCAATGTACGCTTCACCGCAGAGGGCTATCCCTCGTCCCAACAGCAGCACCAACAGCAGCAGCAGCAGCAGTTTCCTTCGCCACCCGAGGGCTACAAGACCAGTGACGGCCAGCTGCCCATGTCAATGCCGCTACCAATGCCCGCCTTTCAGCAGTGGCCCAGCTGTCTGCCCGGGTATCATGCGCAGCCCGTTCGCTATCCGGCAACAATACTGGGCATACTAAATACGCCGAGCAATGGGCAGCAGCAGCAGCAATCGCCTTCTCAGGCGCCACCGGCAACAGTTGCATCACCATCAACAACTACCTCAAGTCAGCCAACGAGCGGAAGTAAACGCTGCACTTCAGCACAGCCAGACAACTCCACAATACTCGAGTGCGATGAGAGCGAGGCATCGCCATTGGCCACCAGGGCTGCTGGTGAGGCCGAGGAGGATGCGGCAGCTGCAGCGGAAGAAGCGGCCGACAGCACTAATAGCGCAGAGGATACGTCTAAGCTGAAACAACTAAATGGACCGCTTGCTGACAGTCCAGATGAGGGCTATGTGGGTGATGCCCAAGAAACGAGCGATATATGACAGCGGAGCGGTAGCGCCTCGAATCAGAGCGCTGCCTACCCCAGCAGCGTGAATGCCTTAGACGATTCAGTGGCTTTGTAATTGGACGCCCAAGCAAAAGGCGTGCCAGCTTAATTAGATGTAGGCTTATGTTATTTTTTGTGCTCTCCCATCAGTTCCACCATTTCCGAAGCTCGCCCATTTTAGCTCTTTTTTTCTCTAGTAGAACTAGGATTGGGTGAAAATGAATTAGTGAGGACAGAACAAAGGCTTTGGATTTTTTAATATTTAATGACAAAACGAAATATTAACTGAATATCCTAATCGAGATATTGTTATGTTTCTCCTTAATGTGGATGTCTTGCCATTAAGACAATCATCAATCGAAAAATCCATAAAATCAAAAATTCAAAAATTTTTTTCAGTTTTCTACAGCCATTCGAGTTTTGATTTTAAAAAGCTAATATTTTATCGCGAGAAAGCTGCATTTTTTCCGGACAACCCAATACTTAGTCTAGAATGTAGCCAATACATTTTTATTGCCTCATACTTCGCTAATCTGAGAGCCTTCAGGCAAAGCAAAGTAACAGAAAACCAGCAACAACAACAAGCAATCATACAAACAAACAAACGAACGAAAGGCATCTCGTCCTGTCCCCAACTTGGCTTCTTTCTTTCCGTAGTCCCCGTTCTTGCCCCCACCCTTGTCCTAACCTAATAAAGCTGAAAAACAAAAGCGCGCCTGCTAAACAAAAGGTTTCTTCTCCCATGTCTTTTGTTGTTGCCACTCAGTGGCGTCGGCTGCTATCTTCCCTTTCGTCCCCTTCTACTCATTGCTCGTAGGCCGACTCAAGTGACGCTGGCGTTGACGAGAAGTGCGGCAAACAGGCAGCATTTTATTTCCGTTGATGTAATTGAAAAAGTTTCTTATTTAATACAAACTTTTCAGCGTCTTGCCGTCGCGTCCTAGCCACCTCCTTATTCCTCCTCATTATTCCACAGGCAATAAAAAGCGCGCAGAATTTAGAAGAAGATGCCCCCCCTAGTCAGTGCCTACATCTACGCCTACATATGGACATACGTACAAGTCTACATATACATAAATATATAGTATGCTTAGGCCTTCTTGCTTGTTTGATTGTCGATTGAGTTGCTCTCGGTGGCGTTGTTAGTTGACAATTGACTCACGCGTTCTTACCCTTTGCCGCCCCCCCTTGATGTCGGAGCAGTAGGCGCAGTCTGAGTCGCAGCTACTCGAAACTCAAGTGGCATGTGTTCTCCCCATGGTGACACCTGCAGTTGCCACCAGACGACACAAAGACGCTACCCAACAAAAGCCAGTGGAGTGGCTTAAGCTAGCAGACCGGTGATTCGTAGGCTTCTCCCACTCACAAGTCATAGCGGAAGAACAAGCATGCTCCAAGCAGGCAAGAGAAGTGTTTCCACAGCTCCCTCCTAGTGTTCCCAATGTCCCATCAAGCACCAGCATCCTCCCACCACCTACATCTAGAATCTGCTTCGACTCTCGGGTCAAGTGGGCATTGAGTGTTTCCGTCGAAGCAGTAGTATTCTAGTTTATAAAATTTTAATTTAGGCTTTGTGTTCTCGTCGCACATAAAAATGCTAAGTTGCCCAAAAATTTGCAGGCAATTTTGCATTATTTATAATTTTTGAGTAAGCAAAGACTTAAGAAAATCTTGTAGGTTTTTAATGGCAGAGTAACAACAAAGGTTTTGTATTGTATATCAACCGAAAAGAGATAGTGTTCGCACATAGCACAAGTGTTTCCGGGTAATATAAATATATGTATAAGTTTAAGCAGTTACGATACATACGAGTATATACTAACTAGACATAATACATAAATTAGTAAATAAGATTAAATATATAGGTCTAGCAAGTGTTAACAGTTGTTTAAGTCCAAGGATATTGAGGAGAGAGATTTTAATGTTAATGTGCCCTGGTTGGTTAGCACCTGAATCAAAAATTATTTCAATTTCAAATTTCTGAAATATTTTTAAAATGTTATTGATGTCAAGACATATTTTTAATGCATATTTCAACTCATCCTCCTTTTGTTTTGAATTGAACAAATGTGCACATTTAGGGCCGTATGCAAGACTTTACCGGTAAACAAATATATGGTTGCAATTTTTTGTACTCACGTATATTGTTATAGCCTGTACCCAAAGGGTGAAAGGCTATACTAGTTTTGTGCGCATGTATGTAACACACAGAAGGAGGCATGGCAGACCCCACAAAGTATATATATTCTTGATCAGGATGAGAAGCCGAGTCGATATAGCCTTGTCCGTCTGTCCGTCTGTCCGTCTGTCTGTCCGTCTGTCCGTATGAACGCAAGGATCTCAGAAAGTATAAGAGCTAGAATAACCAAACTTGGTTTCCATATTCTCCTAAGACCGAGAAAGTACGAGTTTGAGTTTTTTTTCGATGCACCCCCCACTCCCCCGCAATTCGTGTTTTTTCTTATAACTTCCGTAATTCTCGGAATTTTGAAATCAATTTTGGTAGGTACATCCAGTTAGTACTAATGTGTCCGTATGCCAAATTTCATCATGATAGGTCAATTCTGAAGAAAGTTATAGCCATAAGTAAAATCGCTGCTCATGCGCTGCCTGCAGCTCTGTCGGCAGCGCTGCCCGCAGCTGTTGTTGTTGTTGCTGCTTTGGTTCAACTTTGTGCTGCATACATACACGCATATAAACACGCATAGGTACGTGATGTAAATGTATGCTGTTAAAACTGAACATAAACATGTATTCTCATTTAATTTAATTAATTAATTCATTCATTCATTTTTTTTTAATAATTTAATTTTTTTTTTAATTTTTTTTTTTAATTTTTTTTTTTTTAATTTTTCTTTTTTGTTGAGAGTACAGGCTATTTTACTGTCGGGCTTGCTCGACTGTAGCGTTCTATCTTGTTTTCTTTTCTTTTATTTATTTTTTGTTGTCGGCATTTTCTCAATTTCAAGCATCTTTAAATATTTTTGCGAAACACATTTAGAAATGTTGTAATAATTTGATCAAGAATTCTGTGTAAATAACATAAAAGTTTTCGAATTCAAAAAGTAAACGACGAAGGTGAAAATGTAAGGCAAACACATAATGGAAATGTTGTTAGAAATTGAAAATGTAGCAGTGAATGGAGCGAGAGCATGTGCGAGTGTGGCAGACATACTCGTACATATATACATCATAAGCAATCACTGGAGCACACTAAGAAATATTGTAAATTGCATAAATAAATCATTAGTTGTAAAAATCAAACACACACACACCCACACACACCTCCACAAACAAACAGATGCATACACTAGACACGTACTATATGTACATACTTGCGAATATAGCGAATTATTTAGTTTTAGTTTCACCAAGTGAGTTAGTTGGCAAAATGCACGCAGATAAACAAAAGGAATCCAAAGAAAACATCTTAGCATTAGCATAGCAAAAATGAAATACTGTTTAAATGTACGAGTATAACACAATGGAAATATTCAAATCGACAAAATAATTTTAAATCTTACCTAGCTACAAGTAACATGAATATTTTAGCTGTAAAAACTTCAAGAAATGCATATAAACTAAGCTAGCTGTAGGCAATGAAAAACATTGTAATAACAAAACTAAGTACGTACAAGTACAAGATTTACACACAAACAAACAAACATAATTAATTATATGGATATTAAATTTTACTTGAGAGAAGGGGAAAACAGCAAGAGTAAAACGAACAACAACAACAACAAAAAAAACACAAAAAACAACAGAAAACATAGCCATAAGTTAAATTAGAAATTAATAAAGATAATAAGTGGAACGCAGCAAAATTGTAAAAAGCATTAAATGAGAAATGGAAATCTAATAAAAACGCATTAAAGCGAAGAATTTAATAAACATTAATTTATGCATATTTCAATTTACTTCACAAGCTCTGGGCTACAACACTACAATGGGGAAATAAAGAGCTGCATTTGTGATAACAACACCTACAGAAAGTGCTCGTTGGAAGCAAAACAACGAAGAGCGCACTAATTTAAAAATTCCACTCAAATGCAATATTGAAAGCGATTTATGGATTACTTTATTAAATATTGCCCAGTTGCTTCCAAGATATGCAATCCAGCTGATTTCCTTTTATGTTACGCAGCCAATATGTTAAGTGGAAGCTCACTTAGAAATAATGCTTAAGGCAAACTCCTTGTGATTTTTTGATACTCGCAGAAGAGACATCACTGTACTTAAGACCAGATTTGGAGGAGATAGAAAAGGAAATTAAATCGGTAATAAATAGAGACTGAGGAAAAATGCTGTTCTTAACACTGAAGTAACAGCAACAGATTTTGTAATAAACTGGATATGTGAATAAGCTGGATGTCGAAAATATGAGCACAGATTCTGGCTATAGTAGAGGCTACCACACTGGCGCTTCAATGGAATTTTCCTTTAAAAGCTCTCTTATTTCTGTATTAAATAGTTGGCCTAATAGCACGTGACTTCATATTTAAAGTTTTGGTAATCCCAATGTAAATTCGTTTGCAACTAAAACCCCAAATTAAGGGCAAATGGAATTAAATTTTCAAGCAAAGCCAAGAGGATGAAGACCGAATTTGTAAGTACAAATTTGAAGGTAACATGCAGATAAATTGCTTAAATTCGCTTTCATTTCAAGTGTTTCTTAAAACAAGAGGTAAACCAATAGAGAATAAAACATTGCATCCTCATTTTAAATTATGGCTGTGATATGGAAGTGTAGTTTGGGGAAATGGAATGGTTTAATTCTTATTAAAATAAGTATATATACCTTAATTTCATGTTAGATATTAAACCTATACATATATTACAATGGCTTGTATTTTATTATAGTTGAACGACTAATTTGAATTTTAATTAAATAAGAGCAGTAGAGAAATTAATGAAATTATTTTAAAGCCGAACATGTCACAATAACATTCCACTTTAAGGAGAACAAGCTGTAAAATCGAGTGATTTTTGAGCAACGTCTCTGGCAAATGCAAATGCGCCGATAAGTATGCAAGCAAATAGCACAAAGAGTAGAAGAAAAAGCGGAAAGAGAGTAAGCGAGTGCAGTGGAAGCTTAAGGCAATTGAAATGCATTCAATATTTAAAAAGCATTTACACAAACGATGCGTGGTACAGGGGCCAGCAAAAGTCTGAAGCAGACTGAAGCTTACGCACGCAAGCTTTACGGATACGCAGCGTGTGCCCAAAATGCGCGGCACAAGGA